TAAACACTGGAAAGCTAGTCACTGGCAGGTCTGCCACAAACACCCGCTTACACGATCTTTTTCAGATGTGCGGTAGCTCCAGAATTAGCCTGCTCTCCTCCTGAGAGATGGGAGTGCCTGGCGCTCTGAGCCAGATGCCCAGGAGACACCTTCATGAGATGCACTTTACGCCTGGCTAGACTTCATAATGGAGCTATATCTCAATATCCTTGGAGGCTTCTCAATCCCATCAGGAACACGGGGTAGAAAGAAAGCCACAGCCCACAAGCCCCATATCAGTGGAGTTGTCCCTTGGTTTGAGACAGATTGTTTTGTGCGGTTTTCTGAATGGATGGGAATTTTTAATACACGGTGGGTCATATTTTCAAAAGCTGGCACAACGGGTGCATCTCCAAAACCCTAGTGGGTGTGTATGTGTCTGCACCGATCAGAGAACGGTTCTCCTGTTGTAACTGCCCTTGCATGTACAATTATCTGATCTCAATATGAAAACTTCTGTTTCCATGCACCATTATGGACAGTTGCAGGAAATAGTGCACAGTACAAGTATTTTGCTGTGCCTTGACCGCTGGCTCAATCGAAAACATGGCCCAATATTTTCTATTTAAAATAAGCCCCTTGGTTTGCATCTGTCAGTTTCTGTGGGCACCAAGGGGGCTTGTGTGTCACCACAGAAGGCAGCATGCAATGTTTTTTCTCATTAAGGTACAAACAAGGTGGCCCTCCGCATTGAAAAGAATATACAATCTACTTGCTAAAACAGCAGGTACAATTACAGACCTAGCAGGTAAGTACCATGTTTGAATGAAAACCCTCAACAGCCAGGCACACACACACTGTCTGGCCTCTTGTCATGGGAGGGGACGGGATCCTTCTTGAACTACTAGGACTCAACCCAATAATGATAATAATAATTTCAACACCAGATACCCCTTAATCTTGTAGACCAATAACCCAGTATTCCCGACAAAACTTCTGTGACACTGTCTCCTTCAGAGAGAGATGAAAAGCTTTAGGTGAGTGATAGGAGAGGTGGCTTAAAGATGTCTTTAGTCAGGATAAAAACTAAAGAAAATGCAGCTCTGGTTGCATGGCACCTTCCGGATGTGGGAACTGTCATTTGAATTGTAAGGGTAAGAATACAGTGGTGTTGTAGCGGTGTCAGTCCCAGGATATCAGAGGGACAAGATGGGTGAGGTCATATCTTTTATTGGAACAACTTCTGTTGGTAAGAGAGACAAGCTTGCAAGTTTGACTCGAAGAAGAGCTCTGTGGAAGTTCGGCAGCTTGTCTCTCACGCCCACAGAAGCTGGCCTAATAAAAGACATGACCTCCCCCACCTTGTCTCTCTTGCGAGGGCAAGGGCAGGAGCCTGTACAGTGTGGTATTTATCAGATGACCTGACATGTCATCTGGACACTATGCACCGCCCGCTTTATGCATTTGCTCTCTGTGGTTCTCCAACAAACTAGTAGCGGTGGGCTAGAATTCATGTCACATCTCTAATAACAGCGCCTTCCACCGGAGGAATGCTTTACGAAGTCTGGTGAACTGAGCAGCACAACCCCCAGGTCATGAAGTAAAGAAGCACCATTCTCCCTCTTTTGCAGATGCTTAGGCCAGGGCTCAGAGAGTTTAAGTGACCTGCCACGGGTCACAAAGCAAATCAGTGGCAGAGCTGGGCGTAGAACCCTGGAATCCAGTAACCACAAAACTATACTGCTTCCCTTAGAAATCTCTCTAAACCTCATGAGCACTTTGCCTCAGAAAAAAGAACGAACAGCCACCTCCTTTACTCAACACATAGGCCACTTTTATTTCAGGCCAACAGGATCATGTGTCTGTGCCTTTATTTTTATACTTGTGAGCCTGCTACACATTCTAGTGGTGACAGATAGTACCAGCTGGACTCATCGCATCCTGAGCTAAGCAATATAATGTACAGTCCCAAAGCTGGGCCAGTATAAATGTTTACTAACAGCTCATGATATCAAACTAGTGCTAACATGCACTGGCAGTTAGCTACACCCTCTGCACATGCTCCCCTGTTCTAAGCCAGGACGTTAGGAATCCTGCATGCTCATCAGCCCATGGCATGTGTCCTGCAGTATGATGTGGGCAGTAGGATGCCCCCCCTCAGCAGCAATAACCAGTTGCATGGAATTCACACTTGGCCCGGCTTATGTTACAGCAGGAATAACGAAAAGGGAGGCCACGGCCAAAAGGCTGGGGTAGCACCACAATTAGCATTTCGCTGTCCACCTGATCCGTCTGCCAGGCAGACAAAGGCTGCGGAGAAGAGGGAAAGAGGCCCACAGAGGAGGGAAAAGTGCAGACGGAAGGAGACTCTCAGGACTTTTAGGAGGGAAGCAGGAGGTTTGAGGAGGGAGATTTAATAAATGGGCAGGAGTTCTGAGCACTTGTCTGTGTGCTTGCCGTTAAAGAGGGGACGTTCCCAGGAGACCAAACCTGTTTGACAGGGAAGTTTTGACACACTAATCTCTGCAAACCGCGCATCAGAGCGGCAGAGACATATGGAGCGAACAGTTCTAATCTAGACAGGTCAGAGCGATCCTCTGTGTGTTTTCTTTGCGCTTCTCACCACTTCTGTGAGGACATGGGGGGCCTGCCATTCGGGCTGACAGATGCAGGGACTCAGGCACAGAGAGGGGAAGTGACTTGGTCAAGAACATGCACAGGACCCAGATCTCCTCTCCTCCTAAAGCAGGGCTGAGGTGCGAAGAGCATAAGTAAAGTATCCGGAACCATGTGTGTGTCTCACTGTCTGTGCAAAGAGTTAGGGGAATAGTGGGTGGAGGTTCCTGTTCCAGAGGAGGGCAGGAGAGCCTGTGATGTGTCCCAGCGAGGGCCATGACAATAAAGAGGGAAACATTCTGATCCCTCTGGACAGGGCCGGCTCCAGCATTTCTGCCGCCCCAAGCAACAACAACAAAAAAAGCCGCGATCGGCAGTGGCAGTTCAGCAGCAGGTCCTTTGCTCCTAGAGGGAGTGAGGGACCTGCCGCCCCTGAATTGCCGCACGTGCCGCCCCTCTCCCTTGGCCGCCCCAAGCACCTGCTTGTTAAGCTGGTGCCTGGAGCCGGCCCTGCCTCTGGACCGCTCAGCCAGTGGGAAGCAGCTCATGTTCACTTCCCGCAGCAGCGGAACATGTGACCATCTCATTAACACTAGCGGGGGGTTGTGAGTGCAGGTTTGTCTGAACCAGCCCTGCTTTCATTCTCTGCAGATCAGTACATGGATTAATGGACAGTGTGGAGGAAAACAGACCTATTGAGCGATCAATATCAAGGTAGTGGATCCAAATGCTAGAAAGAACACATTGCCCAGACTATCCAGGTTTTCAACCACTAGATAAACTGGACTGCACAAGCCTCTGTGTCTGCATTAGCCCATGAAGTACGATCTGGGGACAGTCTGAGGCCCAGGGCCGGCATTCCCTGCATATACTAGGACAGCTGGCTCTGGTGCATTTTGTAAAAGAGTAACATAAAAATTGCATATTATGGATCAGTGATGCTGGCAACTTTATGAGAGGGACTTGCTGAGAATACAGAGTTGGTGCTTTGTAAACCTCTACTCAACAAATGAATTTACTTTATTATAGCCATTGTTGTGAAGGTTCCTAATAACAAAATGAAGGGTCTGATCTTACAAAAACCTTACTCACCTGAGTAACTTCACCAGCTACTCGCATGAGTTAGGCTGAGCTCACATGAATAAAGATATGCCGTCTTGGGCCTTAATTTTGGTGAGCATGGAAAAATTCCCTGCAAACTGCCATAGTCTGAAACAGCAAGAAAATCAGAGAGCAAAGCCCACCTCAGTCTAGGGAGCTTCGGTTTTATTTTGCTCTCTCCCCACTTAGAATCAATCACATCCAATAAATGCTTAAAACCCTTTCTCCTTGATGGACGTGGCATCTCTTTTCCTAGCCCTAACCGAGAGACTATGCAGACAAAAGTACTAAGAACCCAATCTTGCCTCCACTCAGAGCCACAGAATCATAGAAGATTAGGGTTGGAAGAGACCTCAGGAGGTCATCTAGTCCCATCCCCTGCTCAAAGGAGGACCAACGCCAACTAAATCATCCCAGCCATGGCAAAGCTCCTCTTGACTGCAGTGGGAGCAGGAGTGGGCCCTCACTGAGTTATGCCTGTAGAATATCTTACAAATGACTTTTACCACGCAGCGTGTTTATACTTGAGCAATTATAGGTTATTTATGTTGTTAAATGGTACTTGCACAGCTCTCCACCTTCATTATATCCGGGAGCCTGTGTCTTGCGAGTTCAAGCAAGCAGAGGCACGAAGCAAGTGTCTCAGTGCAGCTACTATGACTGAAGTGCTTTAAACTGTTCCAGCTCCAATAGCACCTCCCTCTGTGCTCTGCTGCCTGCTTGTCTCAGGGGTTTGATCTTAGCATGTTGCTCCCACGGGGGATACTTTGGGGCATGGGGCAATAACAATAGCTGCTCCTGCTGAGTATATGGATGGGGGGAGTCCGTCATCAAGTGGCCAGAGTTGCTCTGTGTTTTAGCCGGATGTTTCTACAGACCAGAATCAAACAGGGACCACCATAGTCTGTGGAAAGCACCTTTGCCAGGTGACACAAAAGAGAGCCACCCCGTGGTCAAGCCGACAGACGCTGTACTGAGGTGGTCTCTACTCCATGTCTTACCAGGACACTAACCCACGTGCTGTTCTGAAACAGGCACCTCGTTGGACAATCCAGTGAAACTTATTAATAAGGGACTGCTATTTTCCTGGCCATTGTATGAGGTGGCTGCATAATGCGGTACAATTCCATTCACCCATACAATGGCTTTTGGCCAGCACTGACTTTGTTTGGCTTATGAGCCAGTAACACAGAAATAAATGCCTCCATATCCCACTAGTAGCCCCTTGAGCCATCCAGTCCCCCAGGAGGGAAACAACCTCTTATTTAAAGTTACTATATTTCTTGTAACCTGAATGCACTCACCATGACTGATTCATTCATACTCCTCATCTGGAAGACATCCATTGTGACCTCGGTTTGATTAGACACCTCACTGCTTCCTGAATGACTGGATGGAGGGAGATCAAAATAGGTGCTGTCTGGTTCCCTGAGAAAAGGAGATGACATGTCTTCAGCTCCCCCATGCAGCTTTCATCAATCCCACCCAATAGCTTGGCTTTCCCTTGAACTTTGACCCCTTCAGCCTTTTGTTTTCCCAAGACAGGGCTGCCCCCTTGAGCACATTTCACTTAGACAAATTGGTGGACAAACAAAGCATAAGACTCAGAGGACTTAGAAGTTGTCACTCAATAGCGATCGATTAGCCAGGCAGGGCATTTCTTCCTTCCGGGAATGGCTTTAAGTTATAGAACAGCTTGGAGGAGAAAATGAAATGGAACACAGTCCTCCTTCCCTATTTGATCAGGATGCTAAGTATAGCAGCCAGAGAGGTTGCAAAAGCCGTGGTGCCATTAGAAAATGCTGTGTATTTAACTTTGGAATGCTCGTTTCTTAATCAGGCAGACCCTGAGTGGTGTAAGGCCAGAGAGAGAACCACTACAATAGGAGTGGGTCTTACCTGATCCATCCAGCAGAGGGCACATACCCACGGGCCTGTCCGTCACATCCACCTCTCCCACTAAGCAGGGGCTTGATCCAAAGCCCATTAACGCTAGTGGAAAACCTTCCCATCGGCATTGGAGCACTGTGCAGTATCGTCCAGGCCGCTGTGGCAACACGACTCCATTGGAGCCACATGAACCGGGACGCCTCACGGCAGCAGCTGCACCCAGGGCCCCCAAGTGGGGCTATGAAGGAAAGATAATGCAGCCCAGGACTGGATGCCCTTGTCTGCCTAACCTGTGTGGGGCTAGAGGCGGACAATGTGTATCCCTCTTGCCCTGCCAGTATCCACCCACTTGCCCCAATGTGGAGTCTGGACCACACAGGGAGGTCTCCAGGGTCTTGAGTGGAGGGACAACGCTGCAGAGAGAGCTGAGCGGGGAGAGCCATGTGTAGAGAGCACAATCCCTTGTGAAGACGGGCAAACTCTCCAAGCAGCCATGTCAGCTAGAACAACCCAAACTAGCCTAAGCCAGCTTCCCGCGGCAGCACTGTGTGAACCAGCCCTGCTTTAATTCTCTGCAGTCCAGTACGTGGGCCAGTGGAGTGTGTGTGAACCCTACAAAGGGCTGAAACAGGCTGGTAAGACTCGATGAATAGAGGCAGGCAGGAGAACAAAGCTGAGCACAAGCTTGGCTGCTTCCATCTCAGCAGAACTTAAGTCCCTTTGGCCGTCACATCTTCCTAGTTTCTTTTGACTTTCAATGAGCACTTCCAAATAGTCCCCTCCAAACAGTAACGTTTGCTACAGCAAAAGGAAGTGCCTGGGCGTTGACCTTCAATCAGCAAAGGGGGAGACCAAATTCGAGCTTTGCTGCAGTTATTTTTTGCAGCATTTTGAAACGCATCCTTGCATTTGTGGTGCAGATCTAGAGCATTAGCGCTGGTGGGGTGGGGTGGGGGTAGGTTCAAAAGCAGCCACTAAAACAGGAGGCCAAATTTTGGGTGCCCAGGTTTTTGCATGTGCAAGTTATGGACCAGATCCTGTGAAGTGATGGGTGGTTTCTCGTTCAAGATGTTCCACAATCTCTGCTCTCACTGAGTTGTCTTATATCAGGACCTCCACTGATGCAAGGAGATTGGGCTGGTAAAAGGTAGTCTGAGCAGACAAATCTGAGCTGTTTTGCAAGCAAAAATCTGAACATGAAAAATTCATGCATGAAAACATGGGCATGCAAAACTGGGCTTGCAGCTTAAGAGACTGGGTAGAAGTACCTATAAAAATGTTTCCCTTTTAAGTCCTCCTCAACAATATGAGTCACTAAGCATTAAACAATGATGGACCAATTATTTCCCAGAACAAGTTTTAGCACAACGGTCAAGTAGCACTTACAGTGTGCTCCAGAGATGTTCAAACGTCGTTCCTTCATCAGCTGGAGAAGACTGGGACATCTTCACAGAGGGGGAGTCTGACAGAGGATAAATCACTCTGGGCCCAAAGAAAAACAGCATCATTAGTGTTGCCACAATGCATATAATCATAACAGCCTGTACTTACACAGCACTTTTCAGACAGAGGTTCTCTAAGTGCTTTACAAAGTGTATATACGGGATGTGCTCTGAGCATGCAGGGGGGTGGAATAGACGATCAAATGGTTCTTTTCCATTTCTTTATTTCCAGGGCCTGCACGGTGAAGCTCATGTATAATAAAATCAAGATACAATAAACTCAGTTTAAGATAAAGTAGATTGAAAGTCCCATATTGAGCCATTACATCACAGCATGTGGATAACAGTGGGCTCTAATTTTAGGGGGTGAAATGGAGGATCCCACTGGATATAACCCATTGCTGAAAATCCCCCACCCTCGGTTTTCTCACTGGCTCCCAGTTTTGCTCTGCCACAGCCCCTGGCGGAGTACAGCACTCTCAGACGCGTCCGGGGAGCTCACATGTAGCTCCCCAGTGACGTTGCACTTGGAACCAGAGCTCCATAGGACTCATTACATTGAAATGTTGCCACTTCCTCTCCTGCCAGCATTGTAATCTAGTCCCAAATCTGGCAGAGCTCAGGCCTCCAGAGGTCGTCAGCGTGTGAAAGAAAGAATTAGTAGCTGCCTTTCCCATTCGTTTGGCACCGCCAAGTCCTACAAGCCCAGGCCTGTTCAGTATGGGTCACCAAGAGAAGGGGGAGGAGAGAGAAGCAATCTGTCACTTCATCCAGCCTTTGGGTCCTTATTCAGCAAGATCATGTGAGACTCTCAGGAGGTTTCTGAATGGAGGGTTTCACTACGTACTCCACAGTAGTACCGACCTGAGGCGGCTCTATCACAGGAACGCTGCTTTGTTATGATTTAGTACTTGAGTACAAGGCAGCAGGACTTGGCTACAGCACTGGCCGGAGATAATTAATTGCTTGCAATGGGGGCACCCAAACTTTACCCATCTGAGGGCTGCCATGCTTTAATCCAGAGGCAGTTTGCACAGTAAAGAGGAGATTGCATCCACCTTCATGCTGAATAGTGAAGTATTGAGAGCAAAGACTAGAGGTTCCAGCATGCAGTGTTCTATCTCAACCTGAGAAAGATGGCATCCCCTCTCCTAAATGACTGCTAGTAAAGTCTGAGAGCAAAATCTGGCTCTGTGTCTGTGAACCTTTCATTCATCTAGATGTCATTTCAAAGAGCCAAGACATTCAACACCCCCCCCCCCAGGAGTGAGGGGTTGGAAATTCTAAAAGACAGGAAATTCTTTCTCTTCTTGGAGCTAGAGCCTCAGCTAGCGTAAATCGACATAGCTTCACTGAAGTCAATGGAGCTAAGCGGATTCATGGAGCTACGCCCTTCAGTGGGGCTTTCTGATGAAGCTAAAATAAATAGCGTTAGGGCATGAAATGTGAAACCAGGCTGATGAGATGCTATTCTCAAACCTCCGCTTGAAACTATCCTTGTGTTTTTAAATTAATGCCGCACATGGTCAGTCATATGGAGGTGCCAGATCTCAAAGGGTTGTACCATAATTGTATATTTTTAGGCAGGCTCCACTCTACTAGGACAACGAGTTGCAATCAGCAATGCCTTGCTTTCTCTCAGTAGAATACCAAAGCCCACAGATACCAGTGATGGGCACAGCATAAGAAGAACAGAATCGATCATTACCAGCAATAGAAAGGAAAGGATGAGCTGTGCCAATGATTCCATATAAACCAATTTTACTGTCACTTTAAGAAACAAACAAACAACTCTGAAAAGCTCAGCACTAACTGATGAATCAAATGTGTTTTGCTGGGTTGAAAACGATAACAAAACACAGCCAATAATTTACAGACAGGGACTCTCCAAAGCGTTTATATTAGAGATTCCGTGCATGGGGGCCCTATGCCGCAACTAGAAATTAATATAATTAGTTACCATCTGCCGGCCCTTCAGCAGCCTATAATAGGAAATAAACTGAGGCCATAGTAGAGTTCCCAATGAACTCATCATCATTGACACTAATTGGCTCCCTCACTGACAGTCTCAACAGAGAAGCCAAGGATTGGATGAGCCAGGGAGACTGAGGGCCTGATCCAAAGTCAACTGAAATCAATGGAAAAACTCCCACTGATTTGAATGGGCTCTGGGTCAGACCCTGACTGCCTTACCCCTGGGTGGTCCAGAGCGGGGTTGAGGTTCTGTGGTGAGGATATGATGGGGAGGTTGCTCTACCTCTGCCCATGCCATACCTGATCTCTAGAGAAAGAGATCGCCAGTCTCCCGGGTTGTCAGCTTGTCTCCTTTCATGACCACAAAATCAACTTCCGGTTTTAAAGAGAGAGCGAGAGAGCAGTGAAGCAATGGAAATGTTCCTTCGGCAGCCCTCTGGCTGCTGGGGCTTTCCCAACTGTGCTATATTTCCGGAGATGTCATCACCATTCTGTATGCTTCTAAATATACCGAAAACTTGGAAGGGACTGATGTACAGTGGGTGCTTGGATTCCAACCCATCTCTAATAAATACTGGCTCCATGACTCCCATTTGAGAAGGTTACAATAAACTTTATTAAAGTGTCAACTGTTGCTTCAGGCAGCCCTCTTTAGCCAACGGTGTGCTGTGTAGACAATTATTCCTAGTATTCACCTCAGCCCTAACCGTCTGACTACTCATTTCCATTAAAGACCACTTACAGTTGGGAATATCATTTGCAAACATATTCACTGAATATTTGTTGCATTTTTCTCATAATTATTATTTACCCAACCTGAATCACAAATGTCATTGCCTTCAAATTTCCCTTTCAAATTCAAACAAATATTAATTAATAATGTTTGCACTGATCAGCAAGTGCAATAAAACACAATGGAATCAGACACAATCTCACATCACAGCTCTTTGAATCTGGGCTCTCTGGTTTGAACACAGGCTCTGACCCCACCGTGACATGTCTGGGTTTGGGGGTAACCACAGGAGTCCAGAGTTTACAAAGCTCTCCTTAAACTAGACAATATTTTGTATATATGACTATGGGAGTTACTACCTGTGAGTCATAGCAAATGTAACATGACAATATTAATATCACTTTGAAAGCCAGCCCCGTCCTCATGCAGCCCTCTACAAAAGTGCACATGTGTTAAGCCAAAAATATTATCAAAAGCAGTTTGATCTCCAAATGCTCCTGCAATTCTAATACTAAGATGCTCATTCAAAGGAACATCTCCAAACTTGTATCAGATTGTTATTAACCTTAACTAGCAGGAGCAGAATGTATTGTTCTTTATTAGACACTGTTCAACAGCAATAAGCTATAATAAAAATATTCTTAGGAAGCACTTTTATCCAAAGCTTTTCTCCATTAATATTAATCCTTCTATAGCACCACTCACTTGGGATTACAAAGTGTTCTGCCAGCATTAATTTAGCCTCATAACTCTCCTGTCAAGAAGGTAAAGTTTATTATACCCAATATACAGATGGGTAAACTGAGGCACAGAGAAGAAAAATAACTCTGCTACCCTCACAATATAAGCGAGCGGTAAAGCCAGAACCCAGATGTCTGGAGTTTTATTTGTCAAGGTATTTCTATGCCTCTTCCACCCAACACCTATGCACCTCACAAATATGAATAAATGTATCACATTATAATCTCCGTGTGAGTATTCTTATCTCTACTTCACCACCCTCAGGCCCAGGCTGAGCGCCTTGCTCCCTCCTCCAGAGAACATTTTCTCGCAGGTAGTTGTTGACAGACCTCATCTTCTAAGCAGCCCATTTGTGGGATGTGTGGGGCAGGTGCATTTATCAATCCTGTGTTTTCCAGCGCTTCCAGCAAGCAGAAGGTGACTGCCAGCGGCCTCATGCTATTCTCTGCGAGGATCAGCGAAGTCACTAGTCTTACCATGGGACTAGTGTCCGCTTAGGAAAGGACCATGACCCAGAGTCAGTTTGTGTAAAGCCTAGGGGCTTACATGGAAACTAGTGCCAAGTAGGAGACTCCTAGGCAACATTGCAAGGTCAGGAACATAATGAAACCAGGAGGCACACTGGTATTTTTCTTCAGCTGCCCTCATGGAAATGATGGACTCAATACGCCCCCAGAGTTTTCCACCAAAGCAAAGGATTCGAAAGAGGAAAGACAAAGAGTTTATAGGCCTGAAAGGAAGCAGAGGGTAACGGCTCAGGAAGAGAAAGAGAACGTGTCGATACGGCGCTTTAGTCCTTATCAGTGTAAATTTTAGTCTGCACTAGCATGTCCCACACTACCTGGCCCACATGTAGTCTACTGGCATGCACTGAAGTCCCTAGTGCTTTTAACGTAATAACGTTGGGTCCACGTGGACCAGTTAGTGTGCGACATGCTAGTGCGGACAAAAATGTACACCCCTCTGGTGTGGATTAAAGTACCATGTAGACATGCCCAGAAGTACAACAGACAAAACACAGCAGGGTTTATTGGGTGGAGAAAAAAACTGTCCTAAGACCACTAACAGTCTCATCGTATGGCCAAGAAATGGGGCTGAAATTAAGTGTCAGGATTTATTTTACACTGTGGTTTTCTTTGTAGTTTAAGAAAATATGGTGATCAGTCTGAAGTAATTCCCTCACTCCCCATGTCCATAATACTCAGCACCCACCAAAATGCCTGCAGATTAAAAAATTCTAAACCGATCTTGATTAAACACTTAGATAGTTTGTACCAAATTTTCAAACAGGGGGCTCAATCTTCACCTGGAGATTCTGTGCATACATGCAGAGACTGGTAAATGTGCACATAAAAATGCACATTTGTGACTGCAAAATAAATACACACCCGCACAAGTATCAGAGTGTGCAGTACTCATTGTACACATACAGTTATATTTTCCCATGTGCTCTCACAGACCTTACAGTGAAAAATTAGGCCCTGCATTGCAAATTATAGATCTGTGAGCATATAGGCAAATCTCAACTGTTTCAGACAATGGGATGCTATTAGAAAGTAGGCAATCCACCAAAGAGATCTTCCTTATTAGTT